TTTATAATTCAGGGAAGGTTGTGGGGATAAGATTATAGCTTTAAGGCTTTAAGACAGGACTGCAGTTCGAGTCAATTTGCTTCGTGATTTAAGGACTCAGGGGTTTCGACCCTCCCACCCTATGAGCCACTTCAGCAGGTGCTGCAGTCTGGTCACGTGATCGACTTGGATGAGATCGCCTTGGGCATCTCCTCATCCCTGCAGTGCTCTTTCGAGCTGGCAGACCTACTGCCCCTCCAGGTGCTGCATGTAGCTATAGGCTAACCCTCAATCCAGAACCCGCAACCCTGAACCCTAAACTGTAAGCGGAAAACCTCAACCCATTCTAGATCTGTGCCCAGGCAAGGCTGCAGGATGTGGAGAGATTGGGGCAATGGCTGCCTGACCCTGGGATTCCTATGAGCTGTGCTGCTATCCACTTTGAGAGTGGGATGTGGGGCTTTTTAAACGAACCAGTGTAAGCAATGCCTGAAACCCAAACATTCCTATGTACATGTGTACATATCCTCGAAAGTAGGGGCATAGGGACAGCTTTATGCTGGCTAAGCTCGACTGTATATGTATATGTATATATATATACCCAAAGGGTCCAAGTATCATTATGGTATATACTTAGACCCCCAAAATACCTTTTAAGTATATACTACAATGATACCAGTACTTGGCTATGTATATATATATATATACACATATTTAGTTCCATAAACTTGCATAGTATATAAGCAGCTGATCTAGGGCCCTGACTATTCCCTCTAAGTCGTACCTACTTCTACTAATATATATATATATATATATGTATGTATGTATATATATATATATGTATCCCAAAGGGTCCAATGTACCTATATAGTATAATGTAGGGTTTCTATATTAGGAATAGCTATTATGATTTGGGAAAGTTTCCCCTATAACAGTACCTAGGACCCTTTGGGTATGTATGTATGTATGTATGTATGTATGTATGTATGTATGTATATATATATATATATGGTTCCGGACTGCCTAGCTCTTGGGCTGTTTGGTTGCAGGGAGACATGGGTTGTAGCAGCTGTCCAGATCTGTGGTTCATGAAGTTAATGTTCTCTTATCAAGAACGACTTTGTTTTGAGTGCTACATTCATGGCCAGCCTCCTTGACAATCGAACGCCGAGACTGCTCTGCAGGAAAACATCTGTACCTTTCTGCATGGTGAGGCTGTTGTGCAAGTGTACATGTGTACCATGTCCAGTGTGGATCGAGGATAGTTGCCGAAACTTCTGCAGCATCACTGCTCGGACTAGTCTGTACATGTGCTATGTCATATATGTAGACATAGTAGATGAATTTCTCGAAGCCAGACATGAGTACCAAGCTGGTATATATGTGCTGCCAACTAGGGGGCGATATTGGGCGATATTGTGCGTTAGAAGTGCTCTGGGGGACAAACTGGGGCGTTATTAGCCGTTATTCTGCGTTATTCGGGGTTTTCGGGGCCCTTCCTGAAGGTTGCTGGGTGGATTTCAGCCACAACACAGGCGATATTCAGCGATATTCTGCGTTAAAAGTGGTCTCTGGGACAAACTTAGGCGATATTAGGCGTTATTCTGCGTTATTGGGGCCACTCCTGGTGGTTTCTGGCTGGGTCTCTACCACGGTGCAGCCGATATTGAGCGATATTGGGCGTTAAAAGTGCTGTGTGGGACCATCTTGGGCGATATTAGGCGTTATTCTGCGTTATTCCTGATTGGCTCGACCCATGGCTGCTCAGAACCCTGCGGGACAGCACACCCAGGCTCGCAACCCAACGGCCCACAATGAACCCCTTGCCAAACTATCTGTGCCAGGGGTCCAGGAAGTCCACCGACTTTGTCGAGAAGGAGGTCCAGAAAGCGCTGCGAGCTGCTGGTGTTCCTCTTTCAGGCAGGACAAGGGCTATGGATCGATGGTTGTGTTTGACACACGTTGGGGTTTGGGGTTTCGGTTTGTCTTCCATGAAGTTTAATCTGCCAAGGGTCTTGGGCCCACACACCCGCAAACCTAAAACCCTAAACCACCCTTCAAGACTACAGTTATAGAATAATAATATTGTTAGGACTTAGAACAGGGCACTTTCAATTTGGGCCCTGGAACCCATCAGCTTGCACCTGTGCTTATAAGAGCAATTGCAATTAGTTTCGCTTGACACAATAACTCCGATAAGTCCGAAGCCCTTTAGAGCACTCCTAGGAATTCGTAAACCTAAAGGTGAATAGTGCTAAAATATTATTATACTCGAAATATACCAAGCGACTCCAAAGTGATCCCAAAGGGATGCCTATGGTGCCCCCAAAGATAATTGTCATCAATGCTTTAAGACTGTGGGATGTCTTGACTATGTTTAATGAAGGGTACAAACATAGTAGCGTTGCTATGTTTTTATATTGCTACTTCTGGACTCTGGGCTTGCCTTTGGCCTACAGGGCTTCTAGGATCTCCCCCAACTCTATGTTTATAAGCTCCAAACCCCAAACCCTAAACCACNNGAAACCAAGATAAACCCTGTGACAGGTTCTGGAACTGGGGGCACCGGTGACAGTGCTTTTGTGAAGCCAGCCCCTGTCCCCAATATGCAGACAGCCCGTCGCAAGATTGCGGCGAAAACCACCCCGCAGCTACTTGCGCAACCCGGGGCCCCTCCTGCCAAGAAGCCTACTGTGAGCCCTCCCCCAGCGCTGGCATCCAGCATGCCACCCAAGGCCGCAAAGAGCAACTCCTCTGAATAATAGTGATCATGTAATAACATTCAAACCTTACTCTATTATAAATGGCCGGATTTTTTTTTGTGGGTGTTCACATCCCAGGTTCGACTCCACCACCACAAACGGTGCTGAAGCTTCGAATGCCCAAGCAAGAGGTGAAGGCAGAGCAGCCACATGTCGCACCAGCCACTGGACACAAGGTCGCTGCAGCCTTGCCGGTGCAGCCTGTTGTGGACACAGTCATCACAGCATCACCTGTTGACCCTGCAACAGCAGATACCCAGGTGGATGCCGACATGCAGCAAGCCAACCTCACTGCCTGTGCTGATGCAGAGATGCCCCCGGCTGTGGAGACACCTGCTCATGAGCAGGGTGATGTGGACATGGGACCCCCAGCAGCCGAGACAGCCCCCACGCAGACAGAGATGCCTCTTGATCAGCACTGTGATGTAGACATGCCCCCTGTGTGCACAGAGATGCCCCCACCATCTACGACGCCCGTGAAGCCTAAGCCATCCGGTGCTATAGACAGTACACAGCAGGAGCAGACACCACTCGATCCACCCGAGCCATCCGATGCTGTAGACAGTACACAATTGCAGACACCAGTCGATCCGCCCAAGCCATCCGATGCTGTAGACAGTACACAAGAGCAGGCACCAGTCGATCCACCCAAGCTGTGTGATGCTGTAGACAGTACACAAGAGCAGGCGCCAGTCGATCCACCCGAGCTGTGTGATGCTGTAGGCAGTACACAAATGCAGGCACC